ATATTGTGACACTTACACAAAAACAGACTTCAGTGGGGCTCCAATGACTAACATCAGACAGCAGTTATTTGTGAAGGTGTCACTCACTGACAGAATTCAGCACTTAATATGAAGGGGGGGTTGCAATAAATAAAGATTATTAGGTTAATTAATTATTTTGCATTTATTACTCTTTTGTATCTCCATATAATTACTCTGCACCGCTTTAATTGAATCTGAGCAGGAGCCAGCAGAAGATAATTTGTTTTCACGTTACCAAATGGTTCCAGTGTTGCCAGGCTGAGAGGAAATCGCATATAGTAGAAAAGCATAATTCATCTGGCTGAGACACTGATACTCAACCATCAGAAAGGAAATTAATTCCACTGCCTGGCTGCACAGCCAAACAACATTAAAAACAGGAATAAATAACAACAGCAACCAGGCTGAATTGGGAGCTTGCTTATCTGATATGTGGTGTGTGGGAGACTGCGTGGGTTTTTCTTATGTGCCTGTATGTGCATGAGTGAATGAGATTTGATTGGTGGGCGTATCAGTGTGTGTTGTATGTGAAGGCATTGCTTCGTTATGCATGCAAGAGCCACTATCAAACGAGAACATGACGAAAAAATGGTGTGCATATGCATCAATGTGTCCATAATTACAAAGTAGATTTCCTGGCGACTATCATGGATTGTTGACCATCTCTAAGCAAGCATTGGAGAGCGTTCAAATGAGGATTATCTCCTCCAATGCAGCACAGCAGAGTTTAGCACTGTATGTCATTGATTAAGCTTGCATATAGTACATGCCAACACGCATCCCACTTGCATAGGGTTTTTCTCTGTTTCATAACAGCTCCTCAAATGCATCCTATCTAGGAAAGACAAATTATATATAATTATATAATGTTATCGGAATATGTAAAGAAATGCAGTATAATATAGATGACAGAAAGTGGAAAAAAGCTATTTTTGTGTTACAGTGATGTACTGTATAGGACATTGGTGCGTTCACTATTTTCTTAACTAGCGTGTGACGTGCAGGAATAATTATTAATAATGTGCCGTAGCAAGCTTCAGAGTTTAACATGTTTCATGTAATATTCTATTTTACATCAACGAACAACTGAACATAACTGAAAAAGCACCGAAAGAAAATGTATAAAACAAAAAGTTGTGTTATTGTAATCTACACTTTTAACGAGACAGTGATTAAGTAGACTGTGTTCATTTAGAGAATCCAAGAAAAAGCAGAGATTTAATGGGAAATAAAGCTAACCTGACACTTGCAGACAAATATGACATAACGACAAAATCTGGCTTATGTATTCACATGGAGGATTAATTCTCTGCTTGATTCTGATGTCTTCTTTTGTCAGTACAGAGATGACTGTGACAGCTGAATAACTTTTTATGTCCTTACTGCACAACTAGAGTTCTAGTGAGCAGTAAGTCCCTAAAGTTTCACTTTAACCCTCTCTTTAGTTGTAAATTCAGATTCTTATAACATTTTTGTTTTACTAATGTATAAAGCATGGTCTTCTTCTCCAAAGAATTTTTCATAGGTGTAAACTATGGATTCCTTACATACACATACTCCCTCCCACTGCTATGGGGTACTGCTCAAAAATGTCTTTGATTTTCTAGCTGGAAATAACACCATCTGCACCATCCTAAAAGTAACACTTGCACAGTCTTGTCTTCTTACTTAGAAACTGAGAAGTGTGTGCTGGTAGCACAGACTGCAAGGACAGAGTAAGTGTTTCGAGTAGAGCAACGCAACAAAGCGGTGAAGTGGACAAGATAGTGTAAAGTGGCCAGGGATACATACAGTATGTGTCTGGTTGAATCATCACTGCAATAATCAACTTCAATAAAAATGTTGTTTTATTTGATTAAAACAAAAACAAAAGAGTAAAGGTGCACGTATGTGTACACACAAATTCAGGAGGATGTTTGGTAGAATAATAGTTATTTTTTTGCTCCTTAGTATTTCTTCTTATCAGTGATTAGTTGTTAATTATATATTAGTCTTTATGTTTGAAGGTGACATTGGAAGAATGGCAGTCCCCTCTTTAATCTCACTGACAGAAGCTGTGTGTGATAATTAGTTTCAGCTACTGGTTAGTTTATCAATCTCAAATCAGACAAATGATTTTGTCTTTTTTATTAATTTGTGAATACAATGGACATAATGAGTTTCAGGCTGTGCATTTATTCATGTGTAGACTCATTCATTATGCCAGTATGGTTAAGTGAAGCTTGACAGAAGCCAGAACCAAGAAAACCCTTCCTCAAATCAAAAACCCTAACCGTGAATCTTTATTTTTATTGAAAATTTTACTTTTTTGTAACTGTGTAGACTTTAAGAAATCACTGGCAAGAAAATTTGGTAACTTACGTTCAGGTGGATTTTTTGCATCCTGTGTTAGAAATAATAGATGGGCAACTTGAAGAGGTCAGAGCAGCCAACTAGTAACCTTCAAGTTGCTGGTTTGAGTCCCTGTTCAAATACTGGGTTCTCTGTCTGGGAATAGTGTCTTTCTGCATGGGAAAAAATAAACATGATAAAAAATCTTACACGATGTTAAAGTAATATTTAGAAAACTACTTTGTTCTAGTCCATATGTAGCAGCTGTATAGTTTCTACAGGCTGAAGAACACTGAAAATTATATTGCAAAGACAGACTCTCCAAAATCTGTAAATCTCTTATAGTGCCCTGCACCAAATCAGAAATGCAAATAAAGACACAGAAGCTCTTTTTCTCCCACCAAAGCATGTCAGTAAAGATCTACGCTATGTTAAAAGTGTTAGCTTAACCAAGGGAGAGCAAGAGAGAGTGTCACAACACATCTTAGCATCGCAAAAGCTAATTGTAAACCAGACCTATGCTTAAATTGAGACAGAAAAATAAAAATATAACATAAACAACATGTTGAGTCATCAGTTTTTACAAGCGGGCTTATTAAACCTCTGTGCATATGTACCTATGACGACGTTAAAAGGGTGTACAGCAGGAGATTTTGGAGCTGGCCTGTGGGCTTCCCACTCAGTAAGAAGTTAGAAATGGTACTCCTGTTTTGTGTATTATTATTGTTATTACGGTATTATTATTTCCACTAGGTGAACAAAACAAACTAACAAAAAATACTTTTTGTAAGTTTTGATTTGGTGTGTATTGAGTGAGCAAAAAGCTTTGTGGGTGGGCTAGCCCACACCAGATGGTATATTGGGTGGGAAGTTCAACACAGCCAGGAATTCTTTGCGTTAGCTGACTCGACAAAACTGATGGTGGTTATCAACATTCTCTGTTAAGCAAAGCTTTCTGTTTCAGGCTCTGTATACACTCACATAAAAAGGGGCATTGCATGCACAAACGATCCCTATGAGCATAGCCTACTTCAAGTTATCAGACAAATGTTACCAGAGATGATGAAAATAGCCATAAAAATCTATAAAGAGCATAAATATGTCGAACAATAAAATGTAATGCTGTTGAAAATAACATAAGAGATTGTTTCAAATTAATTATTTGAACCCCGAGCCAGCGCTTTGTACTGCTGTTTGTTTCTAACATGATGACTACACATTAGAGCTCTGTGTGGATCCATCCAAACTGGAGCCATTTAAACATTAAAAGGTTGCTGTCACATAACATAATAAAGGAGATGTGGAACTCTCTTTAGTTTGTCAGCAGATTAGAGTGAAATTCATTTTACAGATTAAATTGTATTGCTGTGTGTTCTCTGCTCTCTGCTGTGTATTCAGCAATGTAAAAGAGAATGAGCAGAAGATTAGAATCAAGTAAAACGAACAAACGAACAAAATTTTAAAATGTATACATTTTCTGCATTACCAGCTGAAAACATGCACATTCCATGGACAATGCAATGGACAGTTTGCACTGTTGTAACCTTACAGCTGTGCTTCATTTGTAATGCTAGTAAGTTGTGATTTCACAACCTGCACTTTTAAAACATATTTGCCCAGCGGAGACTCTGTACTGCACTTAAAACATGCTGTAAATAAAAGATTAGTGAAAATATGGTGCTTCCAGCCAATTTTAAACCAAAACTTCCAACTAGTTCAACTTAACTTACCATGGGAATTTAACCAGTTGAAAAGACACTTCACTACTGACAGCAAAAAGCAGTTTTCTGATTGTTTGGGATAAATCTGTAGTTGTTTTGCCTTTTTCTTTTTCAAGTTGTTTATACCATAATACTAACCAGTTTTAAGAGCTTTACTTGTCTAAAGTAAAGCTATCGAAGTTCATATATGGTGTTGAACAGTTTAGCCCTATTTAAAACCTTGTTAAATGTTTTGAATCCACAGAACCTTCTGCTATTGCTATAATATTTTGTGTAGAGGTTACCAACCAGAAAAAAGTATATTTTGATTATATTTTTTCATCTCTTTTTGCAAGCTTCCAGCTTAGGAAAAGTAAAGTTTTCTTCAATCATTGAACTGTGGATTAATGTCGACCTGGTGTATCATTTTTGTCTAATTATGGTGCCCTGTGACCAGTACCAATATGACTTGAAAATCAAAAACACTTCAGTCAGTTCTGAAAACATATGTGACAAACTGCCACAGACAGAAACGTTTATAAAATATGCATTAACATCAAATACAGTAGCAGTGGGAGGAAAATTACTGTGGATTGTAAAAGCTTCATAGTGAAAAACTGAACTGAAGGTTAAAATTCGCAGAATTAAGGAAAAGCAAACGGGAGAAAAACTGCAGGAGCTATCGTACCTGTTGGCTTTGGCAGAGTAATGCAGAGTAATGCAGAGTAAAAACAGAGTAAGATGTAAAATTACATTTGGATGTAACCTGCCATTCATTATGAAAGTCACCGTTTAAAAGGGCATAAAAAGGTATGCTAATAAAATATACACATACAGACTCATAATTATGATTAATTATCATATGCCAACATGTCACATGGACTTAAATGCAGTGTTTTCATGGGAGTGGCTTAGTGTGTTTGGGGAGTGGCTGGCTTGTTCACACATTTTGCCTTGTTCATCACTACGACAGGCAGAGCCGAAGGCTGAACGGAGATACTCAGTGTAGTACATCACATTCACTAATTGCACCATCTGTGGAGTGTTGTTCAGCTTGTTGTACAAAACCTGTGTTTAGCAGATGGGCTCGAGCGGCCAGCTAGTTGCTCCTTCCTCAAACTGCTTCACCAACTAGTTTTACAAGTTGGAAAAATAAACTTCTGCGAAACACGGCGGAGGACGCGGGCACGTTTTTGAGCGCTATCCTGACGCGCGGACTTTACTTCGTGGTATTTATTACCACTTTCCTAGAGTTTTCATTTTCCCCTTTCCTTCCCCCTCTCTGCGTCTGAAGGAGGAAAAAGGAGGTGGACCCACGCTCACTCGCCGGTCTCGTGGCTTCTTTGTATACAGCAGCAGCTGTGTGTAAATGCATGGGCACACAGCGTCTGCTGCTCTTTGAGGGACAGCTTCCTGGGCTCAGTCCAGCGTTCATGTGGATTTCCACAGAAATGAAGCGACTGGTGTAAGGTGTAAAAAGAGGAATATCCAAACTTTACCTGTCCCCCTTTCTCTTACCGTAATATCTCGTTTAACCCAACAAAGCTTGGGTCAGTTTCGCCGCCTTTCTTTCTCCATCTCTCTGTGCGCTTGGATTGTAAACGGCAGAAACAAATTGAGCTCCGTGCAGAGCAGGCTACAACTACAGCTGCGCGGCTCCCTCATACACCATGGATGTAAGATTTTATCCGACTGCCGGTGGAAATTCTATTCCGGGAGATCCACCAAACCTGGATTTTGCCCACTGTTTGGGCTACTACAACTTCAATAAGGTGAGAAATCCTTCTCGTTTCGCGCCGTAGTGTTGTTTTGTGTTGTGCGATCACGTTGGGACTGAAACCACTAGTGCACTGTTTTTAGCTTAATTATTGAAACTCTGACCGATATTAAGTTGATTTAATTAGAATTCCCCTTACTCACTTCCTCCTTCCTTGAATCAGAGTTCTCTTTCCGCCTAATCAGTACTTTCCTCTCTTGCCGCAAACTTTGTTGTTGTTCATTAGGAAAGGAAACGGGAGCACAGGACAAGTGTAGCGGCACAGTGTTACTTTTTGTCCAGCTCAAACCTGCCTCGTCGCACTGCTAAACTCTCACCAGACTGATGTGCTCCACAGTCATGGGCGCTGTTGCCTTTAGGGTTCCGTGTTTCTCAACATCCTGTCATTACAGTTCAAATGTGATTTAAACAAAAAAAGATGTAGGCTGTCAGGTACCTGCTCTTCATGACCGGCCACGTCATGCAGTTAAATAAAATGACAACACGATAAAGAAATGGTTGTTGGTCGTTTGGTTAACTGCTGTGTATTTAACCTCATTTTCAAACCGCCTTCAGTTCATGTTGTTCACTGCATTTGCAAGCAGTTCTTAGAATGAGCTCCAAGTATCATATTCCTCATTAACATTTCAGGGGGAAAAAAGCATGCACAAGCAGAAAGAGGAATGGACAGCTCACTATCTGTTCCGTATGAATCTATTCATTGTCAGCGTTGCGCCGTGTTGTGCACTTATCTTACCCATGGCATCAGTTAAACTCTTGACTGTCATACTGTGCACTACAGTTTTATCTGCCCACTGCCAGGTTGCATGATGTATTCGCATTGTTTACATGTTGATCTGTTCGCTTCCTCGCATTTGTATACAAACGCCACCGTGTCCGAGCTGTGAATAAGAACAAAGCTGAAGTTTAATAACTCTTGCAACTGGAGCTTATGAGGTTATGTAAAACACAGTTGATGATTTGTAATGTTTTGTCAGTGATGTAACACGCGCACTGTTAGGCCTGTGATCAGTCACTAACTTGACTCTCTTGTATAACAGCAGGAGAGAACATCATTGTGGCAGTCAAAAAGAACAGTTTTTTATGAAGTTTAAACAATGATACCCCCACCCCCCACCCCCAAACACACACAGACACACATGCACACTTAGACACGACACACTACCCCCCTCTCAAATTATTCAGCCCCGTAATGCAGCTCTATTTGCAATCTGATGCTGCTTAAAACAGTTACCAGGTTTGTCTCAGTGTTTCATCAGCTCTTTGTCATTTGGCCAAGTTGTCATATGTGCCCAATTTCATCATGTCTTCATCAGCCTCAAGAAACTTTAACCACATTGCTTTGAATTGGTGTAAAAGTTGAAGTGCGATTTTCTTCCTGCTCATAAAATCCCCGGGTCAAGTGAAATTTTCCATCTGTAACAGTAATTGGCCACAATGCAAAAGGAGGCATAGAGTGAGAGAGAGGGTGGTGAGAAGGTGCTTATCCAGTATCTCTACCAGTTACGTTGGAAAGAGGAAGAGAGAGAGAGAGAGTACAAAGCATGCATTTCATGCTAATTACAATGCCTTTCCACTGTGAACAAATAGGCTCTTTTGCATGCATCTTTCAAATAAGCCTCCAATTTATTTGAATCGGCTTGCTGAAAGGTAGCACAATGCAGAGCGGTTAGTCATCTAAAAGATGTGGCATGCTTACAAGTCACAGAGCTGAAGCATTACTTCTTTAATCTATTTATAAGCTGTCACAGCACCTTTTGCGAGCAGCCAAACTTTCACTAGATTTACAGTTTTGATTTGAAAACAGGCAATACCCACTCAAAATGCTGGCGCAGGAAATGTTCAATTTTAATGACAAGAGAGACAGAAGGGCCCAGAGGCACTTTCAAACATCAGAGATTCTTTTAAATTTACAGAAAAATCCAAATGAGTGGCACAAACTTAATTAGGTGCTGCAGTCATGACTAATGAAGCTGCCATTTCTTTCCCTTTTTTTGGCACAGAGATGAAGGTGCTGAGGAGAAACATGCCACAACTTCACAAAGCTGAATAATTCTCATATAAAATCTATTTTGTGAGAAAAATTCCCTTGTTGCAGTTTGGAGAAATTAAACACGGTTTCTCTATTGAAACTGAAATTGTAAAGGCTTATTTCTGTGGGTTATAAACATTGACTACAGCGTGTGCAGGGTGAGTGACGAGGCTGTCACAGTGGGGTCTATTTCTCTTAAACTACCTTGACTCGAGGGTGAACACGGAACAGGTATGCTCAAGGGCAAAAACACCAAGGCTCCTACTTTTACTGATTGGTTGTTACTTCAGGTAGCGTTGTTTTCAATTTATCTGATAATGACTATTGGTTTTCCTGGCTCTTTGGATTCTTCTAACAACACCAGGTTGTAGTCGGTAAAATTTATAAAAGTTCCCTTTTGAAGTTTGATAAACTTTTTAAATCTGTGTATGAGCTCGTACATATATATGCACTTATTTATTATTCAAAGAGATTTCAGTGATGCAACATGGTTAAGGCTGCTTGTTTTCTCTAGGCAAGCTCCTCAGTCAGGCACAACATAAACCAAAGACAAAGAGCTGTTTGGATTTAACTAGTTTTGGTATTTGTAAAAGTCAAATGTGATTGAGTTTAATGGTTTCTTGAAAGAGACCCTCTGTTATAGCCATATTTATTGCCATCTGGTCTTTTTTTCCTAAAGGTTTAATAATGTTTCAGATACAGTATCCATTTAGTGTGGGCTTTCATTACCTCCAGGCGCCAAGAAATCACCAACAGATGTTAATACAAACTCCTCACCTGCACTGGTGCTAACACTGAAGGTTTATTTGGAAAACTAATACCAGCACCACTGAGACATTATAATTCATTGCAGTTGAGAATTGACCATACATTGGAGTATTTTAATGGCAGTATAGCAGAGGGATGTAGATAAACACATTGCTATGAGATTCTGTAGCCTTTGTACATGACAAAAGCTACAGAAGGGGGGAAGTCTTGCAGGATCTCTGCTGTGTTGCTGTGTAGTGCTGTTAAGAGACATACAACAGTTTGTGCTTAATGAAGCATTTTAAAAGGAAAGGGCAAACTATAATTAAACATCTTAGAAATTTGTGACTAGGCTTTTTTTTAAAAATGTTGTCAGCATTTTAACAATTTATATATTCAAAAATCATATTTGCTGACTGTGTCTGGGGAAAAAAAAATCCAAACTATAGACATGTTTCATCAACCAATTAACTTGCAAAGGTAACAAACTGATTACTGATTAAGGCAGGGTTAATAGTTTGGCGGTTGCACTGTACACTGATTTTTAGATGCACATGCTGTGTTTGCTGTTGCATGAAACCACAGACTATTAACAACAGGTAGTGCCAAATCAATTTGGACTCAGTTGTTAAGGATTACAGCCTTATGTGCAGCATAATAAGTCTTTTCTGAGAAATGATCTTGATGACAAATCCTCTTTAGCTACACATGCTTTATTTTGTTGTTTTTCGACCACATATTGATAAAGGACTCTGGATAATTTGTTTATTGTCGGCTTTGTATTTTATCATCCATAAGCTATAATATGACAGACTAGCTCTGCTGTTATTCCCTGATTAGAAAGTTCTTCAAGACCCAAAATGATGCACTTCTTAAAGGATTTTACTGAGCGGGGGAAATGGGCCGTAGGCCATGAACTACTTAGTTTATATGAGCTCTACTGACACATGCATATGTAAGGAAACCAGGAACAACACAGATTTTAAGGTCTGGAGGAAGTGAATTAATGTAGCTTCACATTAGCTAACCCCTGGGCAATAACCTCTTTTGTCCAAAGCATAGTACGTCAGGTTTCTTTTGTCTCTGCTGTCACTTAAGCTCCAGCGGGAGGGAAGGGGTTAACTCTCTTAACCAGGGGGCCTTGTGCATCTCTCCAGTGTACACAGCTGGTGCCATTTCATCACACACATTCTAAACATATCCAAACACAACTTTAAATGTGTGTGTGCGGTAATGCCGTGTGTGCGTGTCTTGGGGAGGGGCAGGGAGGCTGTCTGCTTTGTCAAACTCAACACTTGATGGATATGACTCCAAGGTGCATGTTAAATGTTTAAATGTCCAAGAAGTGAATAGCTGATGTGTTTTGCTGAGTCCTTTAATTGTAGCTTGTCAGGAGATGTAGTTCAGCAGATTTATTAAACACCTAATTTTCCCAGTGAGACAAGAGAGTGTTATTTTTAGTTTGTTCTACACGAAGACGCACTGTGCACTTGGAGCTCCTGTCTGTAAGAATGACTGCTATATGTGGCAGACGGCACTACACGTATTTTGTAAATGCCCAGCTCCATTTTCTGCATGCCATTTCTTCTGAGCAACATTAATGGTTGTTGCTTTGATCCCACAAGCATTCTGCAACTGTATGACAATCTGATCCAACAGAGTGGAAAACATAACATCAGGTTGTCCACTTTGTTTATGAGGTGGATGTGACAAATCCTCCAGCTCTGAAATCTTCAACAGACATAGACCATTACCCAGATCAGCACTCGTAAAGACCTTCTGTAATCTTGCCATCACTGCTCATAAATCCACTTCATTACATCTCCTTGTGCATTACTCAGCGTGGTTCATTTAGGCAGACCTCACACCATGAAGTTATTTCCCAACTGGTCGATTTGCAAACCATAAGGCACCATTCTATAGACAAGAACCATCTTGCTGTGCTGATTTGGTCTTGATGTAATCTCATGTCCAATGAAAAATAGGGGAAACCACATTAAAAGCAAAAAAGAAATCATGCTTGGATATGGAGTGTCTTAGTGCTGTAGGCTTTCCTTGTGCGTATAGTTTCACCTCAAGGATCCACTCCACTGTTGTCTGTCCTCGCCCTGCTTAATAAAATGACAAAAAATTCTCCCTTTTGACTATGTGTAGCTATGTGGCTGTTTCAAAAACATCTCTTCCAGTGGTATAAAGAGAACAGATGCACAGTGTTG